CCAATTCTTGGTCCCTAAAAACCAACTGGTCACACAACCTAGACTGCTGCAACCCAGAAAACCTAACCTGGAAAGCTGTTGCTGCCTGTTATGCCCTAACTTCATTGGGAGGATCAGAAAAAGAACCACATGGGGAAGAACTAACCCCTGTGACAAAGCGAAGGCAGAAGGAACAAATATCACCATTTGGCACACATGACAAGCAACCCCTCAAACTTCTATGAAGCAAGAGCAGGTTTGAGAGAAATATCCATTGGACCACCAAACCCACAAGAGATTTCCAGGGCCTGAAAGGGAAACCCAAGCAAGACACCCAAGCACTGAGATCCCTACGACAGACCTATAAGTAAGCCGACACAGCCCTAGAAATGCGGCTGTGAAGGCCGACCTCGGCAAGCTGAATGAAGTGTACCAACCACCAGTGCACCCTGCCAGCCAACATTGCTCCTGACCTGAGTTAAGACAGTTAAGTCCCAAAACACCTGACTCACCCTGAGAGATGACCACCACAAAATAAGGAGGACCTCTACAGGAGCGACCCCGAACACTCCAGGGAAGATAACCTTGATAATGCAAAGGCAGCACTAGAGAGCGCACAGGGAAGGAAACCCTGTGTCCAAGCACTCTCAAAACTAGGCTCATGCTACACTGCAGTGTACAGGAAATGCCATAAAGGGCAAAGACCACCACTTAGCTGAACAAGCAGAACACTGGAGCCAGCATGGAAGACACAAGACCTGGTACACACTTGATTAGCTACAGAACTGAGGATGGAGATGCTTGCTGACAGTGGACTATCTTCTCCCTCCTAGTAAATGAGTGGAGGTGTTTACATACCTGGTTACCTGGTTGATGGGGTTCTGGGAGTTGTTCTACTGCCCAAGCCCGGCCTGAGGCCAGACTTGACTTGTGAGAGTTTGGTCCACCAGGCTGTTGCTTGGAGCGGCCCTCAGGCCCACATACCCACCACAGCCCGGTTGGTCCAGCACTCCTTGAAGAAAACAATCTAGTTTCCTTCTTTAAGATGTCCACGGTTGTTCCGGCAATATTTCTGATGCTCGCTGGAAGGACGTTGAACAACCGTGGACCTTTGATGTTCATACAGTGTTTTCTGATTGTGCCCATGGCACCTCTGCTCTTCACTGGTTCTATTCTGCATTTTCTTCCATGTCGTTCACTCCAGTACGTTGTTATTTTACTGTGCAGATTTGGGACCTGTCCCTCCAGTATTTTCCATGTGTATATTACAGTATTTGATATCTCTCTTGTCTCTTTTCTAGCGGGTACATTTGGAGAGCTTTGAGACAATCCCAATAATTTAGGTGCTTTATCTCGTCTATGCGTGCCATATATGTTCTCTGTATTCCCTCTTTCAGCAATCTCTCCTGCTCTGAAGGGGAAAGTGAGTACTGAGCAGTACTCAAGATGGGACAACATGAGTGATTTGAAGAGTACAACCATTGTGATTGGATCTCTGGACTTGAAGGTTCTCGTAATCCATCCTATCATTTTTCTGGCCGACGCAATACTTGCTTGGTTATGCTCCCTAAACGTTAGGTCGTCGGACATTATTCCCAAATCCTTGACATGCTATTTTCCAACTATGGGCAGATTCGATTGTGTTTTGTACCCTGTATTATGTTTCAGATCCTCATTTTTGCTGTATCTGAGTACCTGGTATTTATCACCGTTAAACATCATGTTATTTTCTGCTGCCCAATCGAAAAATTTGTTAATATCTGTAGTTTATCAATGTCATCAGCAGAGGTAATTTTCATGCTGATTTTTGTATCTGCAAAGGATGACACGAAGCTGGGACTTGTATTTTTGTCTATATCTGATATGAGGATAAGGAACAGCAGTGGTGCAAGGACTGTACCTTGAGGTACAGAGCTTTTAACTGTGCTCAGGACTCAATTTTATTTGATTGACTGTTACTCTTTGTGTTCTGTTCAACAGGAAACAGTATCCAGCATCCTACTTTACCAGTTATACCCATTGACCTCATTTTGTGTGCAATCACTATGGTCACATTTGTTGAATGTCTTTGCAAAATCTGTGTATACGACACCTGCATAATGTTTTTCTTCTAATGCCTCAGTGATTTTGTCATAGTGGTCAAGTAGCTGTGAGAGGCATGATCTTCCTGCTCTAAATCCATGTTGGCCTGGATTGTGGAGGTCATTGGTTTCCATGAATCTAGTGACCTGACTCCTGATCACTCTCAAATACTTTTATTATGTGGGATGTTACTGCAACTGGTCTATAATTCTTTGCCAATGCTTTGCTACCTCTCTTGTGTAGAGGGGCAATGTCTGCTGCTTTAAGCCCATCTGGTAACTTCCCTGTGTCCAAGCTCTTCCTCCACACTATACTGAGTGCCTGTGCTACTGGAACTTTGCATTTCTTTATAAATATTGAATTCCATGAGTATGGACCCGGGGCCGAGTGCATGGGCATATTGTCAATTTCTCTTTCAAAATCTGCTACACTCGTGTTGATATCAGTTATATTTACAGGTGTTTGGATATCATTCATAAAGAAATTGTCTGAATCTTCCACTTTCATGCTGTGTATCGGAGTGCTAAACATGTCTTCATACTGCTTTTTAAGGATTTCACTAATTTCTTTGTCATCCTCAGTGTATGACCCTTCACTAATACGAATAGGCCCAATACTGGCAGTGGTTTTCGCTTTTGATTTAGCATATGTGAAGAAATATTTTGGGGTTTTCTTTATTTCTTGAATTGCTTTCTGTTCTAGTTGCCTTTCTTCAGTCTGATAGGAATGCTTCAGTCTCTGTTCGATTTCTTCAATCTCCCTGTTTAAATTATTTCTTCTTTGTATGGAGAGTCGTGTCTGCTTAAGCATTTCCATTAATTTCTTCCTTCTTTTGTAGTGTCGTCTGCATTCTCTTTCTACATTGGACCTCTTTCTGGCTTTCCTCAAAGGAACATGTTTCAGACAGACTTCATATGCTTCAGAAGTTAGTTTTTTCTATTCCTTGTGTAGGATTTTTATTAGAACATTTTCCCATTGAATGTTTGCAAGTTCCCTGTTTATTTTCTCCCAGTCTATCCTTTTATTATTAAAATTGAATTTATTGAATAACCCTTCTCGCTTGTTGTTTCTCTTGGGCCTACTACCATTATGTTAGTTTGCACTTCAATGAGCTTGTGGTCCGAGTACGTAGTGTCTGAGACAGCAATGTCTCCGATTAGCTCCTCATTGTTTGTGAATATCAGGTCCAGCGTGTTTTCGTTCCTAGTTGGTTCTGTAATCTGCCGACTGAGCGAGAATTTGTCACAGAATCTCAGTAGTTCTCTGACCCGTGGTTGGTTATTTCCAGGTTGATTTCCTGCTATAATGTTATTGTTTACTATTCTTCATTTTAAACTGGGTAGATTGAAGTCTCCAAGGAGGAAGATATCTGGTACTGGGTTTGCTAGGTTATCAAGGATATTCTCTATTTTGTGGATCTGTTCAGTTAATTCCTTAACTGTTTGAGGAATTAACTGGCTGTTTGTATATTAAAATAATAAGTAGATTCATATTTTCTACCTTGATTAAAAGTACCTCTACCACCTCATTGGATGAGTACAGGAGCTCTGTGCATGCCAGCTCCTCTTTAATATACAGACCTACTCCTCCACTTCACCTAATTACTCTGTCACATCTATATAGATTATAATTCGGAATCCAGATTTCGCTATCCATGTGGTCTTTTGTGTGGATTTCTGTAAATGCACCAAATATGGAGTTCAATTCTATTAGAAGGCCATCTATGAACTTAACTTTATTTCTTGATTTTGGTCTCAAGCCTTGTATGTTTGCAAATATGAATGATTTCCCACATTGCGTGTCACTTCTGGTGGGCTTTGGTAGTTCTTCCCCGACTCTACCCAGGTCCAAAGTGTGTTGTTTTGGAAGTGGTTTGTCCAGTTTTGGTAGTAGGACGGGTGTTGTGTGGTGTATTACCTGTGTGCTTGTTGATAATTTGTATTCCAGTCTTGTGGGTATCTCCCTTCCCCTCTGTAATCCTGTAGTGGCTCCATCTGACTGTTCCCCTTTCTTATATTTTCTACTCTGTTTCTGCCTTCCTCTAAAAAAAAATTCCAGTAGTGTCATATTGATCTTCCCGTCTATAACGCTGTGTACCTCTCACGTGGAATTCCGGACACTGAAGATTGTAGCATTTTTTGTCCCTAATTGAAAATTGACATAATTTAGGGTGAAACTATCTACACCCTGTTCCAAAACGGCATGTACCCCTCGCCAACATGTTCCTGCATTTTCGAGGATGCAGAAAATTGCATTTTGCTCCTAATTTTCCATGTTTGCATATTGCTTGAGCATAGAATTTGCAAATATTTCCAGTTTTTGCATTTCTCAAGGTATTTATACCTGTGCCTGTCTTGTCAACCTCTTTATTGGAGCCATCTCTGTCTTTTGTTCCAATTCCTTTATTTATGCACTCTGTCTCACTGTTGCTCTCATTGTTTATATTACCTGGCTCTGCAATATTGCTGTTATTTTGTACCACAATATCCTCTTCCTCCACACTACTGATGTAGTTCTCTAAACTACCTGTTCCTGAGTTTTGGTCATTATCCAGTGTTTTCTTTTCCCAGTCCACATATATCACTGGTAGCTTTTCTGTGAATGATAATCTCTGACTTGGGAATGTTTTTCATCAGTTTAGTTATGTTATGGTTGGTTGCATAGTTGGAGAATTTCTTTCAGTGGTTTTCAAGGCTTCGGTCTCTATTAGAAACCAGCAGAGGTTTGTTTTGACTCGCTGACTTTCTGGTTGCCGGGAGGTGGCAAAAATATGTCCCCCTCTCCTTGCACCTCTACGAGAGAGAAGTTCTGGCACTGGTCCCCAGAAGGCCTATAGAACTCCACAGATGATGTGACCTAGTAGATGGTACCAAATCAGTATATAGTAGCTTCAGGGAGCCACAAAGGGAACTCTCCAGAAAACTTAATATAATTCTCACCTGTAGTGTGTGCAGGTCGAGACCCACTGTGGATTTAGGTAATGGAATGAGTGTCACACCATGATCATTGCTCAGCAGCTGCACGGGACTGTAATCCTCCATCTCTCCTCCATTAGCATTGTCCTCCACTCCACTGCTTACCATACTAAAAGCAACATTTATATTAATGGAACATTTAACATGATCAGCAATTATTATCAGCCAGAAAATTAAATGTACGCCACTACATACAAGTACTGTGAGTACAGTCTGTAGTACATACAAGTACTGTGAGTACAGTCTGTAGTACATACAAGTACTGTGAGTACAGTCTGTAGTACATACAAGTACTGTGAGTACAGTCTGCACACACATTAATAACCAAAAACTCCAATATGATCATGCTTACTTACAAAAAGATGCTACACACACACAATATAAATAAATGAAAAGGAGATTATAATATCTTGAGGTTATCTCGAGATGATTTCGGGGCTTTTTAGTGTCCCCGCGGCCCGGTCCTCAACCAGGCCTCCACCCCCAGGAAGCAGCCCGTGACAGCTGACTAACACCCAGGTACCTATTTTACTGCTAGGTAACAGAGGCATAGGGTGAAAGAAACTCTGGCCATTGTTTCTCGCCGGCGCCTGGGATCGAACCCAGGACCACAGGATCACAAGTCCAGCGTGCTGTCCGCTCGGCCGACAGACTCCCTTATACACTCCCTTATATAATATACTTTATGGGCTTGCAGTTATATTAAAACACACTTTTCTGATTACCTGAAAGAGTCCTTTAGCATAGCTTGCGCCAGGTGATTTGAACGAGCAACATAATGCTGATGAAACGTTGCTATTCTCCCCACCACTACCTGAGCCTCGTAAACTTTGTTCATGTTGATCAGTCCACCGGGCCCTATCCGAGTGAAGAAACTGTCTTCTCCACAGTAGTCAGAAATAAACTGCAAACAAAATGAAACATTATAAATAAATAAATAAATATAAATAAATGAAACATTATGAAACTAGCAACATTTTCAATATCAAAGGACCACAAATCACAACTTTTTAATTATACAAACTTTTTTTATTTGAAAACACTTGAAAACAAGTGCTTGGCTGTTGTGTTTCATTGTCTATGCTATATTCCCTTTCTTTTCCATTTTTTTTTTATCTCCATAAAATACACAACCTATTACAATGACCTGAATGTGATGGTGAATATAGGCTGGGGACTTATCGTCTCAGACTCTTCCCAACAGAAGACGAAATCAGTGTCAAATCTAAAGTTCATATCAGCCCAAGCCCCAGGAAACAAGAGACAAATGGAATTCAATATGAATAAATGCCATGTTTTAGAATGTGGAATCAGAGAAAATAGACCACACATACCTTACAAATTATGTGAAAAAGAATTACAGAACTAACTAATAAAGAAGAAAACCTAGGGGGGGGGGTGTAGTAAAAGTGTGTATCGTATTGGAGTAGAGCTGTAGTTGTGCAGGATGGATGTTCGCTTGATTGTTATTGTTTGGTGGCCGGCAGATCGGCTGTGTCATGAATGAGTACAGGTCTGTGGAGGTGTGCTTCCCTAATTTCTGTTGCCTTAGCTTTAGTCATATACTGTTTGCTTGTTGTTATAGTGAATGGACAGTACTTGGACTAAGTGTGTGTGTGTGTGTGTTTATTATGACTTTTTTTTCTTGCAGGATGTAACAGTACTTTAATTGTTTATTCAATAAAGCCACAAATCTGGAAGAGTGTTTATTTTACCTCAAGGTGGTTTTGGATAGTAAGCTGTCATAAGAGGAACACAAAGAGCAAACATTGTGAGAGGAGTGTATGTGTCGCTTTCAAACTTCAGACTTGATTTTAATTATATTGATGGTGAAATACTAAAGAAACTGTTCATGAATTTTGTGAGACCAAAATTGGAATATGCAGCAGATATATGGTACCCAAATTTCAAGAAGCACAAACTGGAAAAGGTGCAAAGGCATGCAATAAAATGGCTTCCGAAACTAAAAAACAAGAGTTACGAGACGAGACTAGAGGTGTTAAACATGCCAAAGCTAAAACATATTAGAAAAAGGGGTGATATGATCACTACTTACAAAATCCTAACAGGAATTGACTGAATTGATAAAGAATTCCTGAAACCAGTAACTTCATGAACAAGAGGACAGAGATTCAAGTTACGGAAACAAAGGTGCCAAAAAACATTAGGTAGTTTTCTTTTGCAAATAGAGTGGAAGACGATTGGAACAAGCTCGGCGAGAAGGTGTAGGAGCCCAAAACTGTCAGTAGTTTCAAAGTGTTGTAACACAGAGTACTAGGAAGTTGGGATACTGCAAGCATAGCTCTCATCCTGTAATTACACTTAGGTAATTACAGATGATGGCAGGCTCCTCCTAGTACAGGTAACCATGAAATGGTAGCAGGATCTTTTAATGGGTCAAGGTAAACTCAATTATATCCACAGAGAGCTATTATATCCATAATTGCATCATATATGTAAAACTCGGACAGTAATTGTTTAAATCATCATATATGATGACCACATTCCCCTAGTAATATTCATGATGATAACCGCTTTCACTTATTACATGTAACCATGAAATGGTAATAGGATTTTTTTCATGAGTCAAAGTAAACACCATTACATCCACAGAAAGCTTTTACAGTATATCCATATTTGCACCATACATGCAAAACCCAGAAAATAATTGTTTACATCGTCGTAAGATGATAACCGTATTACCCCATGAATCAACGAAAGACATTAACCGCTATCTAAGGGTTAAAGTGATTTATACCTAGATTTAGTTAAGTAACTACCTTCTTTTCACTGAAGTCAAATGTTCGCTTGACTATTCTTCGGGTTTCCTCGGGTTTTTATTATTTTACTGCAACTTACACTTGTTGTGCAACTTTCAGTGATTGGTAGATTCTGATGCCTTGTCTTTTTCTTCATCAATCTGCTGCAAGGTTGATTTTGTTTCTTTTTTATTTTGTGTAAAATTGGAAATCGCTTATTTCTTAGTTGTGATGTACATTGTTATGTCCTACATGCATGGTCTTACATCTTTCTATATTAAAAGGCATTTGCCAGTCTTTCGACCATTTGTGGAGTGCATGTAACCCCCTCTTTGTAAGGTCTCGATATCATTTTCACTTCCTACTTTACTGTAAATCTTAAGTGCATCCATCTGCAAATTTGATAGTGGGATTTGTAATACTGTACTCTCATCTGTCATTGATGCATATGACAAAGGGTTGGCCCCAATATAGAACCTTGCAATACCCCACACACCCTATTTCTCCAGTCACCTTCATTTCTGTTTAGGATGACCTCTTTGCTTTCTTTGCTATAACCATTATTTTTCCATTCTAGTACTCTACCATTTATTTCATGTACTTATAATTTCCTTGCAATCTTTCATGCAGTACCATCTTGAGCAGCTGTCAGAATGGTGAACCAATGCTTCAAAATCTTGTTTCAATTTGCTGCGAAGGTTAGGCTAATAATATGGTAGCTGTGACGTAACGTCGTTGATGGAAGGCATTGCATTGCAGGGAATATTTGAGGAATTTGTTTAGATCTTTTGCAAGGTCACAATACCTTTCTTACCTTCTGCTTTCCTCTAGATCTTTTTATCATCTGCAGGTTTTAAGATGTGGTTTGTAATACAGTATTGTCATCCAGCTTGTGTCATTGTTGTATAATAAAAATTGGGTTGGCCCTAAAATGAAATTTTGCAGTACTTTGCTATCAAAATGTTTCCAGTCTGGTATTTTCCCAGTTAGGATAACCATTTGCATTGTGTTTTAACCATTTTTATACACTTCAGCATTCTACCATTGATTCCATTCCAAATCTTTATAGTAGACATGGCAGCAAGAGACATGCAATGTGAACAATTTACATGCTCATCAAACATTTAAGCATGAGCCACAATGCTTGGACCAACAAGCAAGTCCAAAGGAATACTGAACACTTATCTGATGTTTGGTCCCCGCAGGTCACCATAGAGGCGTTACATTATGGACATCATGTGGGAGAGTTGGGTTTGTCTCCTCACCCATACCCGAAGTGGGCCGGGCCGCCACCTGGTGGCAGAGGAAAAAAGTCAGTTGATGCCCTTGTTAACTTGTAGTCTGAGTTTTGATTTAATAGTTCAGCACCCGTCAAAACATTTCTCAGAGGATAATTCAGTTTTGTGGCCTCCTTTTGATGTTTTTTGTGGATAGTTCACCTCAATACTGAGTCGATCTTTAATCCCATGTGTTCCCTGCCCCTGAAGAAGGGCCAAGGGGGATTTGCACGAGCACTTGTTCTTGGTGAGAAGAGAATCTGTCAGGTGCCCGCTGTTTCAAGTTTATCTAGTAATTGTCAGTATGCAAATTGTGGGAATTTATTGAGGGAGTGGCCCAAAAAGTAATTTACTTTTATACAATGCAAAATACTGCATAAAAAAATTAAAATTCCTTGACATCAAACATTTTATTAATACCTAATACAACACCAGTATATTCCAGTATATTCCAAAAAATTATTTGCTGTATTTTAAAAGTTCAGTGCTGAATGTAATGAAACATCTTTCTGGTTGGACCTCTGTAGGTCCCAGTAGTTAGCCACACTGAGGTAGCTCCACACATAAGAAATATAAGAAAGGGGAGACATGATAACCACCTACAAGATTCTCAGGGGAATTGACAGGGTGAACAAAGACAAACTCTTCAGCACGGGTGGAACACGAACAAGGGAACACAGATGGAAACTTAGTACCCAAATGAGCCACAGAGACATTGGAAAGAATTTTTTCAGTGTCAGTAGTTAGTAAATGGAATGCATTAGGAAGGGATGTGGTGGAGGCTGACTCCATACACAGTTTCAAATGTAGATATGATGGAGCCCAATAGGCTCAGGAATCTGTACACCAGTTAATTGACAGTTGAGAGGCGGGACCAAAGAGACAAAGCTCAACCCCCGCAAGCACAAATGAGTGAATACAAATAGGCGAGTACACACGAGTCACATTAGCCCAAGGAGTTCTAATAGATTAGAGACAGAACTTGTTTCCTCCCCCCACCCCTACTAAATGTGTATGTGATTTAAATATCACCAACGCCAAAGAAACATCCACAAAGTAAGCAAAGCAAAACACAGCTGCAAGGTTTACTGAGAATAAGGAAATGAAAAAGTTAACAACTCCACAAACAATCAACAAAGTGATTAGGTCAAACCTTCCTAGTTACACCTGGCTACTACAAGGCAGAAGTACCACCATGAGCTGCCGGCTCCCAGTCTCTACTATCCTCAGACAAGAGCCTAAATAAAAACCGACACACCTGGTAGGAGGGAATATCTGTTATCTTGAGATGATTTCGGGACTTTAGTGTCCCCCGCGGCCTGGTCCTCAACCAGGCCTCCACCCCCAGGAAGCAGCCCGTGACAGCTGACTAACACCCAGATACCTATTTTACTGCTAGGTAAGAGGGACATAAGGTGAAAGAAACTCTGCCCATTGTTTCTCGCCGGTGCCTGGGATCGAACCCGGGACCACAGGATCACAAGTCCAGTGTGCTGTCCGCTCGGCTGACCGGCCAAGGGGCCAGGGCATCACCGAAGCCCAGTCAGAAAGAAGAGCCTCATTACATTCAACACTGGTTTTCTGGTGGGGCCGAACTGCGGCCCTCCTGTAGCAAACCAACTACAGAGAATAGGAAAACTGAGACTTACCAGAGGAGGAGAAAGAAAGCAAAGATCAAACCGCCGAAGAGGAGAGACCAGGATGAGAACTCCTAATAAGGGCAACACAAGATGACAGTAACCAGAGACATTGACCAGGTAGTGAACTGCCAGGATCAAATTACACCACCTAAACCCAAGCCCACACATTAGCCCAAAACATAATAGCAAATAGTGAATGGAACTTATAGTTTCATCTAACAACCAAAG